TGACACACTATTTGTTGTGTGGCAGTAATTAATGAGCCAGGCTGAAACTAATTGCCACGTGTCACTAAATAATCGCCATCAAGTGCAGTGACTTTTATCTGTCGTCGAACACCGTAGCCATTTGCATATTAACGTTAACATCCCTTGCATTTGATACCGAGCCAATTACGTCAAACTGTGTCAAAGCAACTCACAGCTGATTGCTGTCTGGAATGACGACTGTGTGTTTTGTAGGCAAAATGCAGCAGCCAATTTGCGCAGAAAACAGCCACAGAGTGAATGATCAGTTTATCTGGTGTATTGTTGGGTCAAAACACTGGGAGAAACTTCCTTCTTCTTTTCAGATAAAGTTGTGGGATTTTTTTTAATGGCCTCAGCTTAACGTCTCCCGAATGGCCTCAGCTTAACGTCTCCCCAAGGTTAGCACCTCTGGATTTATACCTCGGTATTATGAATAGATTTGTGCAGTCTTTCTCACAAAGTTGCACACACCCAAAATAATAATAATAATAAATTCTTGCATTTTATATAGCGCCTCATCACGTCATTGAGACGTCTTAAAGCGCTTCACACAATGTACTGTAAAGCGAATTGACTGTATTTTGTGGGCGAAACGCGGCAGCCAGTCACGTACAAACAGTCGAGGATTGAAAGACTAAATTATTATTAATTAATTACATTTTTTTGAAGGGATTTTTACTCCCAGAAAAGGATCCACCAATCGACTAACAACCAGGTTCCTATTTACTGCTAAGTAAACAGAGGCTTGTGGAGTCAGGAAACTTGCCTACGGTCTCGTTCCGCCCGGGAATCCTTTTGCTTGCGAGGTGAGTGCTCTAACCACTGAGCTACAGGACTCCTACTAAAAATATAACGGGTGTCACCTTAGCTCAGTTAGTAGTACTTTTGCCTCTGGGTGAGAATCTCGTAGGTTCGAGCTCCATGTCTGAAGACTGAGACTTACAGTCCAAGTTGAAACTCCAGTGTAGTTGCTGGAGGAGCGTTGCAATGTTGGGTGGGATGTTCAAACCGACGTCCCATCTGCCTGTTTAGGTGCCATTTAAGGAGGGTTAGTAGGCGTCTTGACCGGCTATCCTCCGGATAAATTGGTCGTTCACTTTTCAGTGCAATGAATTATCATTTATCGATTGAATTTGTTTTTCTTTTCACTTTCACTAAAATGGAGCAAAACTCGAATTGTTTCAAAATGTGGACCAAATGTTTGTTCGCGAGGTTTATTCACAGCGGATCACACTGCAGGCCTTTTGTTATGTGTTTGCGGGCGGGCGGGTGGGTGTGTGGGTGGGTGGGGGTGGGTGGTGAGAGGGTTGGGGGGGGGGGGTGAGGGGGCTGGGATGGTAGAGTGGAATAATCGCCACCCACCTAAACAAAAAGTTACTTGTTTTGTAAGTAATAAAGTGAACTGTTTGCAGACGTTTTAGCTGCAGCTGCTGGGGCTTAATTGGGGTTGGTTGGTAGCCGGAAAATGAAATGCCTGAAGATTTAAGCCTCTTGAAACCTAATCATTTTTTTGCTGGATTTCCTGAAGGTCAGCTGGACAAATTACAGTGATTTTTCCCCCCCACCCCCCCACTCTCGCACCGCAGAGCTCACCAACCATTGCCCTTTGAAACTCAACCCACTCGCTCACTGTGCCTCTGTTCCTTTTGAACCTGAAAGCACGACGGAAGTCATTTGGGGACTAAACCCAGTAAAGGCAGCGGAGTTGGTTTACGCCCCTGGTTTGTAAAATATTTTACCCAGATTTTACCAAAAGCTCCAGCACGCGCCAATACCCATTATTAAGGAGCTCAGTGGTTAGAGCGTTCGCCTCGCAAGCGAGAGGACCCGGGTTCAATTCCCGGGCAGTTTCCTTACTCCACACGCCTCTGTTTACCCAGCAGTAAGTTGGAACTCGGTTGTTAGTCGATTGGCGGATCCCTTTTCTGGGGGTAATAACCTCTTCACCCAAAAAAGTCCTAGTCAATTCTCTCCACAGTATATTCTGTGAAGCGCTTTCAGGCATCTCAATGACCTGATAAGGTTCTATAGCAAATGCAAGGATTATTATTATTTTTCCAACTGTTGCGGAAATGCCTTGGTCCCAATTGGCTCAGTGGATTAGTGTCTGCCTTGTCGGGCTTAGAGGCCAGAAAGGTCTCGACTTTGATCTCTGCCATGTGCTCAATTAGTTTGTCCCGGGCACAGAAGGTAACGAAAATTTACTAGGACATTAATGCCTCAGCTAGTGTTCAGAAAAGAGTCTCGAGGAAGGAACACTTGACAACATTTCGCCCACAAAACATACAATTTACTTTACAGTATATTCTGTGAAGAGTTTTGAGACGTCTCGAAGGCGTGATAAGGTGCTGTATCAAATGCAACGATTATTATTATTAGTATCTCCCCGTTTCTTCTCTATCTGAAATTAATTCCTTTCACCCTCTCCACCACCTCTCGCTCCCACTCCCCCCCCCCCCCCCCCCCCCCACCACCATGAACTTGGATAAAGTAGAAGTAAGTGTTTTTATCTTGTAATAATAAACTTATTATAAAAATATATAATAAACTTTGCATTTGATGCAGCGCCTTATCACGTCTTCGAGACGTCACAAAGCGCTTCGCCGAATACGCCGGAAGGTGAACCGACTGTGTATTTTGTGGGCGAAACGCGGCAGCCAACTGCGCACTGCAGCGTCCGACAAACGGTCGTGGAGATTGAGTGACCAAATTATTATCATCATCATCATCATTTATTTATTTTATTATTTATTTATTTATTTATTCCTTTACTTATTTATTACCTTGGTTTATTTATTACCTCCTTCCGTGAGACGAGGAACGAGCCATCTTCCTCCTCCTTTCAATAGATTTTTTCATCATAATTAATCAATGCGCGACTATTACCATTCGCCTGTTCATTTAAACCCCTAAAAGCGATGGTCGGGCAATGCTAGAGAAGGTTTCAATCCAGCTGTAGGTAGGTAGACCTGGGAGCAACCATGGGTTACACCCTGTAGAGGACACTATTGTTCTAATCCTGCAAGAACCATGTAAGTATTATCCATATGCAACTGCTCGGTGGTAAATAATATAAAACGGTTTCTGTCCTGTAGCGTAGTGGTTAGATAGAGCACTCGCCTCACAAGAGAGAGGACCCAGGTTGGATTCCCGAGCAGGGCGAAACCTTACTCCACAAGCCTCTTTATCTAGCAGTAACTAGGCACCCGTTGTTAGTCAATTGGCGGATCGCTTTTCCGCCGGTAATAATCCCTCCAGAAGAACCGTGTTGTCACTCAATCCACGGCTGTCTGTGGGACATTACTGTGCGCAATTGGTTGCCTCCTTTTGCCACAAAAATATACAGTCAATACACACTTTACGACATGTTCTATGAAACGCTTTGAGAGGTCTCAACAACATGATAATGCAAGCATAATTATAATTGTTATTATTAATAAATTGTTAAATGGCTGGTTGTTTGCAGGACCCTGCTCTGCATAAAAGGGCTGTCGTGTTTGCCTACAAATCCACAGTCACTTCACTTGATAGCTGATTACCATGATTTGCTTTTAAGAGGTTTAAATGTTGAACAACAGATGCAAGGATTATTATTAATCAGAATCACTTGAGCAGAAAGCAAATAAGGCAAAGCTCTTAATTAACATTCAGCAGCATTGCTTGTCATTATTGTCTCTTTCAATAAACACTAGATCAATAGATCATTTGATTTAGCTGCTAATCCATACCACTACAGTTAAACCCCGTGAAAGCCAACTTACTTTTAATCAGCAATTTTCATTCTGTTTATGCGTGTGAGAGCGAATGTGTATGTGAGAGTAAAAATGTTTGTGTGAGAGCATATATGTGAGAATAAATGAGTGTGCACATGGAAGAGTGAGAGTGTCGGTGTGTGTTGGGATATGTATGTATGTTATATGTTGGGACAGATATGCATTGGTTTCTGTTGGTGTGTGTGTGTGTGCGTGTTGGGATGTGCGTGTGCATTTGTTTGGGTGCATGTGTGTGTGTATATGTAGGTGTGAGTGTGCTTGTTATAATAATAAAATGTTGGTGTGTGCACTCTGTGATGTGTGTGCATTTGTTGGGAAGTGTGTATGTTGTGTGTGTGTATGTGTGTGTATATTTGTTGGTGTGTGTGTGTACATATGTTGGTTTGTATGTATGTGTATGTATTTGTTCGGGGGAGGTTGTGTGTGAATTTATTTGATGTGTATATGTGTATGTTGGTGTGTGTGTGTGTATATGTCGGTGTGTATATGTGTGTGTATATGTCGGTGTGTGTGTGTATATATGTCGGTGTGTGTGTATATGTCGGTGTGTGTGTGTGTATATGTCAGTGTGCGTGTGTGTGTATATGTCGGTGTGTGTGTGTATGTGTCGGTGTGTACTTGGGGAGGATGAGCAATCGAGGAAGACAGGCGACCTGTTCCTGCGCTGGTCAGGAAAGCCATGACACCGGCCAGGAATGTGATCCAGCTGCTGTGTGAGGTATCAGCAGAACAGCTGCTCTCAACTCAAACTGATCCCACACCTACTGGGTGACTAATAGCATTCCAGACGCATCAGCTATAGCCTGTGTGTGTGTGTGTGTGGGGGTGCGTGTGTGCGTCTGTGCGTCTGTGACTGTGTGTATGTGGCCCTGGGACAGTCACTGCTGAGTGCAGCCCTGAGCACCAGCTCAGCCTATCTGCCAGAACTCGGCTCAGGCACTTTTATGTGGCGTCCAGCAGCTCTCTCTATCGGAATCAGTCTCCAGGTCCTAGTGAGGGCTCCTTTGAAGCCGTCTTTCAGAGGGTCAGCCAGTCAAGCTGGTCAGAGGGAAGTTTTGGCACATTTTGGGGGGTAGAAGTTGAACTTGGGACCTTTGCGCTCTTGAGTCACGTACTTTCAATCCCTTAAAGCTGAGAACAGTGCAGAGGGCGGGAGTGGGGGAAGGTTGTGGGGGTGGTGAGGGAGGGAGGGAGGGAGGGAGGGGAGGGAGGGAGCGTTCTTGGTGATCGACTGTGGGACTGGACTGTGTGCGTCACTTTTTTTAAAAAAAACACACAAAAGGTTAAGCACCGGGCATGAAGAAACAGAGCAGCGACTGTGGCTTTGAGAAGCGACCGGGCAAAGGGGCCATCGACAGAGAAGGAGACATGGCTTCCAACGTCTCGGACAATGACATGGCTTCCAACGTCGCCCCTCCTCAACCTCACGTCGTCCAGAGGTAAACGGGACCGAGCGAGAGAGAGAGAGAAACGGCTAACGTTTTTAATGTGTGCTTTTGTTCAAAACAAATGTATCGGGAGACAATGTGGTGATGTACTCAATGCAGTCGGATCAAACGGGGTCAGGACAGAATGTGGTATAAGGGCAGTTTGTGTCAGCTCCCTGGTGCTAGGCTGGGCAGGGCTGGGTCAGTATTTTGAGCGAATGAGTTATGTTCCTGTCAGGGTTGGTTGGAGACCGAATGATCGCGATAATAGAGATATATATTTATATATATATATTTTCTTTTAACCTTAGTTTTAACGGACGCGCAGTTTTAACCCCCACTCCGCAGGGTTTGGTGATATTAGAGAACATATCGGAGAAAACACTTGCTGATCTTTTCCTTTCGTTTCTTTTCTTCTTTTACGAGTCGGTCGGGTTTGTGCAGCTGTAGGTTTTCAGACTTACCCGGGTGGGGGAGGGATTCGAGACGAGAGCCCTTTTGTCAAAGAGGATTTTTTTTTTGTACGATGTCCAGCCGCCGATGGGGGCCGGAGAGCGAGGGGAGAGCAGGGAGTCGGGGTGGGCGGGCGGGGTGGGGGGAGGGAGCGGAGAGAAGGAGAGTGGGAGAGAGAGAAACAATTTCAACGCGCGCGTTACCAGAATCCAATATTAAAGGTTTTTTTTCCCTCCCTTCCTCACTAACCTTTCATTGGTAAGGAGCCTAGAGAGACGAATGGGGAGATGTATTAATGTTCTGCTTTGCAATCAACACCAGGAGAGAGGTTCGAACTGTCTGGCTTTCATGTGGATTTTCTAAAGTGAATAATAATAATAATCCTTGCATTTGATATAGCGCCTTATCATGTCTCAAAGCGCTTCACAGGAAACACAAATATACGTTCAATTCACTTTACAGTATATTCTGTGAAGCACTTTGAGACGTCTCGAAGACGTGATAAGGCTCCATATCAAATGCAAGGATTATTATTATTATATTACACTGTAAAGTGAATGGACTGTATATGTTGTGGCAGAAACCTTACCAAGCCAATAGTGTCTATTTTCCAGAAATTCCAAACTCAGCCAAACTTTAACGCACAGGATAAAATCTCTAAACCAATTCCATTAATATCTCGCATTCCCCCTTTCCCTCCCTCCCTCCCTCCTCTCTCCCACCCTCAGCACGTAGTTGCATTTTAGGCAATTTAATGCTACCTATTGAATAAGCTTTCACAGCAATCAACGGTTGACTTCCAGGATTTGGCCTTTGCCTTTCTGTCACTGAAAGGATTTACAGAGAGAGCTGAACCCATGTCAAGCTATTAAGACCGTCTCAAACACTTCACCGGATATATTGTAAAGTGGATTGGTTGACTGTATATTTTGTGGATTCCAAGTCAGAATTGGAATGATATTTGTACCTGTTACATAACAATAGTAATCCTTGAATTCGATAAAGTGCCTTATCATGTGGTTGAGATGTCTCAAAACCTCTCAAATGATGCACTGTAAAGCGAATTGACTTTATGAAGTGAAGTGAATTGTGTTTTGTGGGCAAATCGCGGCTGCCAATTGCTTACAGCAATTGCAACGTCCCACAAACATTTGTTTTTATAATATAAATAAATTCATACGATGAAATCAATTTTTATAAATAGATTTGTGGGCATTGAGTTGAGCTGGCGTTTGGAGAATATTTATTCAGCTACGTTGGTTCCTCTAGGATGTAAAAATATTTCCTAGCAATTTTTCCAATTGTCTACTAACAGCGAACTGGATTCTTTGTAATATTAAAAAAAACTGGGCTGGGGTGGGGGGTGGAATCCGTGATGAGAGTCTCGGGATTGTGGTAGCAGAACCATTAAGGGGAGAGATTAGAAGGGATTTCTTCAATCAAAGGCTTTGAAATCCGTAAAATATACAGTCAATCAAAGTATATCCTTTGAAGTGCTTTGAGATGTCTCAACGACGTGATAAGACGCTATATCAAATGCAAAAATTATTATTATTGCCACAAGCGGCTACCGAGACCGGATCAATAGAACCGTTCAAAACGGAACCAGACAAACACCCGAGCAGTAAAAAGCTTAAGGAATTTGGGGGAGAGAGAGAGAGAGAGAGCTGGAGAGTGTTGGATTAGTTTTAGTAAAGGGATTGAGAAAAGTGGTGAGCAGCAGCACAGACGTGACGGGCCAGATAGCCGCCTTTCGCTTGTTGTAATAACAATAATAAAACGATACTAAAATAATAATACACCCGGCATCTGATATAGCGCCTTATCATGTCTTCGAGACGTTTCAAAGCGCCTCACAGAATAGACGGCAAAGTGAATTGGCTGTGCATTTTGTGGGCGAAACGTGGCAGCCCATTGAGCAGAGCAGTGTCCCACAAACAGTCGTGGATTCAGTGACCAAATTATTATTGTTTAGTTCATTTGTTTGTTGCTAAGGAATGATTACCTCAGGAAAAGTGATCCGCCAAGCGACTAAGAACCTGGTCCCTACTTACTGCTGGGTAAACAGGCGTGTGGAGTAAGGAAACTTGCCCAACCTTTCGTCCTGCCCAGGAATCAAACCCAGGTCCTCTCGCTTGCGAGGCGAGTCCTCCAACCGCTGAGCTACAGGACTCCACATTAGCCCTTGTTCCGATTTAATTGTGTGTATGAGAGAGAGTGAGAGAGAGAGAGAAAAGGGAGCTTTAACAAGACAAATAGAAATTGTTTAATTTTAATACACATTTTAATACAATGTAAGTTGCCTACAAAATGAGCTCTTGCAGTAAAGATTGTGGGATGTGGTTGTGTGTGTGTCTGTAGGGAAGCAATGTTTAAAGATGCCGTAAGTTGAACCTTCTGTTGGAGAATCATAGAGTTGCTTTTGACCAAAATATAGTAAAACTCACATAAGTCTGATCTGTGTGAATCGTATGATCGCCTAAGTTGTACATCTGCCCAGTTCCTGTTTATATTTCCTATTACTAATAAGTTTCACATCACTCATATTTTGCATAAGTCGTATTAAATATATGGTTCCAAATGATATGACTCATGTGAAGTTTACTGTACTCCAAAACAAGCTCAATGGCCACATTAAAAAGTGAGTCAAACGACATCGATTGCAGATCGATTGCTGATCTATAGCACAAATGTCCCATGTTTTCCTGCCCAATGGTTTGTTAAATGATACTTTTATTTAAAAGTACATTTTGTGTTGCTTAAAACTTCCAATTCCTATCTTGTCTGATCCTGATTGTTGGATGATTTAATTGAATGTATTTTATAGATTACTGCAATTCTCACTGATTTTTAAAGTGTTCCCCAAAAAACATTTTATTTTAACTATTTAACCATCCCACTCCCGTATTATATATATATATATATTTATACCGTATATTATATATTTAGATATGGCCACAAATACACAATCAATTCACTTTGCAATATATTCTGTGAAGTGCTTTGAGATGTCTCATCAATGTGATAAGGCGCTATATCAAATGTAAGGATTATTATTATATGTAAATATATACACATTACACAATATTCTGATTTTATATATTTTTTAATTGCAGAAAGGTATTTCTCATCATTTGCAAACTTCAAAGAAACCCAGCAGTTAAAACAAATTAAAGCAAGGATGTGTTAGGATGTGAAATAAATAGTGGATTTTGATTTGTTTTTAAAAAAATGGAAACTTACGCTGTTTACATTGAAATAATATTGATTTGAGTGGTTTGGCTTGGAGTTGGATCCGCACACTGGGCTCCAGTCTATACAAATTACACTGCAAGAGGGAGAAAAATGTTTTGTTTTGTTTCATCTTGAGAGTGTGAGTAAGTGACTGTAGTTTAGGAGTGAGTTTTGTGTTATTGTTGAAACCGCTTTAATGTTAAACAACTAGTCGACTGCCGGATCGCTTTCCGGGGGTGATAATCCCTTCAAAAAAACATATGCGGTCGCTCAATCCACGTCTGTTTGTGGGATATCTCTGTGCGCAATTGGCTGCCGCGTTTCGCCCACAAAATACACAGTCGATTCAGTTTGCAGTATATTCTGTGAAGCGCTTCGAGAAGTCTCAACGGTGTGATCAGGCGCTGTATCAGACGCAAGAATATCAAACTGTTTCAGTTCCGGGCCACACAGATCAATGCTGGTCGGAGCTGAACTCTCTCACAACAGTTTTGTTCATCGAGATATATTTAGTGCAGCACTGTATTTTTCTGGAGCAAGGCTCGTCCTCTCTATTTCCTTTCCACACCTAGAAAGGTTGTATAAAGGTAGTCAGATTGACAACTAGTGTTTGACTTAAATCGGAGTGTTCATACGTGATGTCTGAATGTGCGCCACATGGTACCTGTGTTATTTGTGAGTACGTACAAGGTATCAGCCTGGCTCAATTGACAGTAGCTCAACGACAATTGACTCACCTTTGGGTTAGAAGGTTATGAGTTCAAGGCACCTATGTCGGAAGTTGAACCCCTCACTCTCTAGGTGTTATGACTCCAAAACAGTGTCTGGGAGTAGGGGCGGCTGCATTGTTGAAGGTGAGGCATTAAACCCAAAGCTGATGGGTGTTACAGATCTCGTGACACTACTGTAATGGCCAACAACACCCCAGGAAAATTGAAATTATAACGAAATCGAGTTCTTTGCACCCAAAAAACTTGTTTGCGACTAACAGAAGCGTATGAATAAATGTGCTACACATATAAATTCTTGGTTATATAAAATAAATTCTTCTTGATTTAAAATTGGAACAATAATGTATATATAATATGTTTGTTATATATATATATATTGGGTTCATTGGCAGTGAACCAAATAGTGAAGATAAATATATATATATATCATATATGTGTGTGTTTGTATGTCTACCCCATTCCTTCGCTCCAATGTAAAAATAGATAAATTCTATTCAGTAAGGATGTTAACAGTCATGCGTTTCATGTTAAATATACCAAGTATATTCCTGACCGTTGAAAATAAGCAAATTGCTTTTCAGAAAGATGTGTAGT